CAATGATTCCGAGAATGTTATCATATCAATGAAATCATTTCTGATATAATTTTCAATCTCATTTTCCAATCATTAGTTTCTTTCTACTTCAACTTCCTCTATCTTTAATGTTTTTGAAAATATGCAATCTAGAAACTCGCGATGAAACAATTTGTATTAAAAGTTTGATCAAAATATACATTCCCGAGATTGGAAAACGTAATGCAGGTTTGTGAGTTTTTCACCTGTTCTGTTCAAAACAAAATATTCAGTTAGAACTCGTCGCATCCCGTCACGCTGCCGCGGGGGTAAAAGGTGAATATACTGTACAGTCTCTTGCAGAATTAAAAGTGCACCGCGAATTCTATCTGACGAGCGTTACCAAGAGTTGCATGGCGCATTCGGATGCCGCGATGCGAGAAGCGCATTCGGCATTTCGCATTCCCGCATTTCGCGGCAGTAGATGCATGCGCCGGCGGCACACTCTCGGATCCGCCGAGAACATCCGATGCTGGCTGGCAGTGAATAACGTTGCAAGTTGTACGGTAATCGCGAAACGTACGCTTCGATGCGCCCACGCTACTTCCGTTTCTCCTTATCAATCTAATTCTGAAATAGCGGCGCGAAAATATCCAGCGGATATTTCAACGGATTAATCTGTCGCCGCGCATATTCTCGAACATGGACGGTTCGATTTTGCGAGGGCGAAACGCACGGACGGACTATGTACACAGATGGACAGTATTTACCGAAATGAAGAATGAAATAATACACACATCGAGGTTATTCCGATACGATCAGACGTATGCATTAATAACGCTCTCATTTCCGGATATAAAACGACGTACGGGATAATTCGCCGTTTCATAAATACGGTGCCGCCCGGTTTAATCTTTGGATACGTTATCAACTGTGTCCCGTATTGTACGAATACGGAACGTTACGGAAGGGATGAGAAAGATTAATGTACATTGTAAGTTTCAGCCGAGACGTGCAGCCGAGATGTGAATTGATATGCATGCGCGAACGTAATATCCGCAAGCGTTAATATAAAGGCAAGTCGAGTTAATTGGGGCTAGAAACGGCAGAAACGACCAGCGAAGGGAAATGTGAATAACGTATTTCCCATGTGTGTTCAGTAAAGGGAGTTCGTACCATAATCTTCCACCGTAATCTTCTTACGAGCGATCAGAATACGAGCGCGTTTTTGGAAAGTTCCAATCCGCCCCACATTACATGCAGAAGTCCTTGCAAAGCCAACAATTTAATGGCTCTGCGAGATTTGCACTCTCCATTGGCACAGCGTTACTTATAAAATGTCCTTTTTACCTGTCACCCACCCGAATTGTCACACGGCAGACAGTTCTTCTCTCGTATTTCTCTCGCGTATAAAGAGTTCAATTATGAATGGAATACTGTAAAAGACTTACACAGTAGAGGTAAGAGCATCCATGAAACGGACACGCCGAAGTTCAGCGATTTCCGTCGGTTGAGAGAAAATGTAGCTTTCCCTCGACCGAAGAGAAATATAACTATATACGCGACAGGATGGAAAAGCAGGGTACTGTCTCTATCATTTTGTGACTGAGATGGAATAACGGACAATTTCTGGAAATGATTTCACGAACTAAGAACATTGCGAATTCGCAGGATATTTCTTTTGCAATGCTGCCATTTAAAGCCTACGCGATATGTATAAAAGATTTATGCAAATATCCAATCAAGCCTAGGTATTCCGTTCGAATCTACTCGCGACCCAAATGCGACACAGCTCCTTGGAGATGAGATCGTTTGGGATTATTACTTACAATTAGTTAATGTTCTAATGACATATATGTATATGTATATATATATGTATATGTATATGTATATGTATATGTATATGTATATGTATAT